CAAAAGCTCCTAGTTAATGTACTTGAATTCGTATAAGAAATAAAAGAAAATGACGTACTTCTTTCGTTATAGTCATCAGTGAATTTCTCGTCTTTCTTTGGTTTCTAAACTCTTTCAGCCCATAGTACACAATATGACAGAAAGATATATCAATCTTCGTCGAGCACTAATAGCTCAATGGTATGTGTCTCGCTCTCTGTTCTTTACGTCTCACGTTCAAATCCGCCAGTCGCCGTCATTTCGTAAGTAATAATTGTTCTGCTACTTCTAGGGAGAAGGATAGAGATATCTTGAAGGAAATGAACTATATAGACAACCCTATCGATAGTGACACATAACATTCTGTTTTTTGTTTTTTTCGGAAGTTTTGATAAACGCGTATCAATATCAATCAAATAGACGAAGCAAATCATAATATTGACCATGAATATCGCAGCATATTTTTAATGATGCTTCTAATTTTAGTAATACTGGTTGACTAAGAAATATTTCTCGAGGTTTCAAACATAACCCACGTACTTCATTTTCACTTAAATGAACATTTTTATTCGGTTTTGCACCACGAAATTCTAATAAGCGTCCTATAATTCCATCAATGTTTAGTTTGTCCTGTTCACTTGCCATTAATCACGAGTTTGTCAAAAACGTGCTCAAGAACAAAAAGATTGAATTAAAAAATTGAAGTAGAAAATAAAGAGAATAAAGAGAAGAGAAACAAATCAGTTTTTTAGCTTTTCCGTTGTTATGTGAACTCTATTATATGATATTCATCTTGTATGTGTATTATACGCTCTTGGACAATTAAAACGAAAACAGAAGCACACACAAAAATGAGTCTCTGTGATCATATTTATCTCTTTACAATAATTTGTAATATAAGCCCTCTAAGTCTTCGAAGACTGTAAGAACAAGAACATTGGGAATAGTGCGGACGACATATTGAATGTTTGCAAAAATTACGCTTTGGCATATTTTCTAAGACTTTCCAACTTTTTGGTTTACGAAAACTCTTCTTCTTCCAACTGACAAACTTTTCCGTTTCCGGAAGTCTGTTTTTTCAACTTGACAAAGATTTAGGGCACCAAGTACAGTAGAATCCGTCAAAGTCACATGGCGTGTCAAACTGGAAAAGCGGAACTTCTGGACATCGAAACAATTGACAAGTTGAAAAAGCGGAATATCTGCAGAATGTTTTGCACGCATGAGACTGCATTTAAAAAAAAATTATGGAGTTTTAAAGCATGAGAATCGGAAGAAGAGATTTTTAACGACTTATTTGACGTTATTCTTGCCGATTAGTTATACCGCTACATACATTTGGGAAAAGAACAACAAAAAAAAACAAATTGTTATGGTAAATCATTCTATGGTAAGGAGGGTGACGGACGTGCAAGTTTCGATCGTTTTTGGTACTGTATGTACTTTATTTTATGTCGCACTTGTGTTGTCAATTGATTTAATAACTGTACCTACAAATTAGTTTGAAATTTATTGTAATTAGTTGTGTTTGAAAAATAAATATCTACTATATTATAAAAAAAACAAAACAAAAAAAAAAACGACTTTCGTTGCATTCGTTGTCCTTTAACGTGGAAGACATTGTCATTGGGCTACAATTCATAGCTGATATTCGGTGTACAAGAATGCGTTAACTTGGATCCCGTTCTAAATAATCCATTACGTT